CATCCTTGTGTCATGTAAAGGTGGTCGCTTAGAGGTCTTCTCTTATAAACCTCTCGTAATCGACCATCCTTGTGTCATGTAAAGGTGGTCGCTTACAGGTCTTCTCTTATAAACCTCTCGTAATCGACCATCCTCAGTGTCATATTAAGGTGGTCGCTTACAGATATTCTCTTATAAACCTCTCGTAATCGACCATCCTTAGTGTCATGTAAAGGTGGTCGCTTAGAGGTGTTCTCTTATAAACCTCTCGTAATCGACCATNGTGTTCTCTTATAAACCTCTCGTAATCGACCATCCTTAGTGTCATGTTAAGGTGGTTCTTATTAAAAAACTCTCCATCCATCAACGAATGTTGAAAATTTCGGAAATTATAATTAGAAAATTTATTAATATGTATTTTATTATTACAGAAGTTAATCACTGCCAAAAATAAACTGATAAATACAAATATGAATTGATAGATAAAATTGAAAAAAACCCATACAATAAAATAAAGAAATAAAATATCCAAACAACCCTATTATATATGGACCGTCTTAGCCATGTTGGTGTACAAAACGAGAGAAGCAAACGAGAAATCTTTGGTTAGCGGTACTCCAACATGACGGKGATGATGTCACATGCTAACCAAGAATAGAGGCATGGCAGCCATGTTGGTGTACATAACAAGAGAAACTAACGAGAAATCTTTGGTTAATGGTACACTAACATGGCAGTGATAATGTCACATGCTAACCAAGAATAGAGGCATGGCAGCCATGTTGGTGTACATAACAAGAGAAGATAACGAGAAATCGTTGGTTAACGATACATCAACATGGCGGTGATGATGTCACATGATAAACAAGAATAGAGGCATGGCAGACATGTTGGTGTACATAACAAGAGAAGATAATGAGAAATCTTTGGTTAACGGTACACCAACATGGCGGTGATGATGTCACATGCTAACCAAGAATAGAGGCATGGCAGCCATGTTGGTGTACATAACAAGAGAAGCTAACGAGAAATCTTTGGTTAACGGTACACCAACATGGTGGTGATAATGTCACATGCTAACCAAGAATAGAGGCATGGCAGCCATGTTGGTGTACATAACAAGAGAAGCTAACGAGAAATCTTTGGTTAACGGTGCACCAACATTGCAGTGATGATGTCACATGCTAAACAAGAATAGAGGCATGGCAGACATGTTGGTGTACATAACAAGAGAAGCTAACGAGAAATCTTTGGTTAACGGTGCACCAACATGGCGGTGATGATGTCACATGCTAACCAAGAATAGAGGCATGGCAGCCATGTTGGTGTACATAACAAGAGAAGATAACGAGAAATCTTTGGTTTACGGTACACCAACTTGGTAATGATGCAAAGAATGAGATAATATTTTTCGGAGAGTAGCTTTTACATGGGAATTCATTTTCCCCCTAATACTATCCCTTACCAATTGTATTTTTAATATGTTTATCAAAGTATTATTAAACTCGACTAAAACTAATAATTAATAATGTTACCTAATCAATTGCTGGACTAGTCATACTCGTTCGAGGAAAAACTGGTAACGAACGTGTGGTGCACAGGATTATGGGAAGAAATAGGGGGACACAGTGAGAAGGTGAAGTTTTTTATTTTATCTCCTAACGAAATTTCACGAGGTCATTACCAGTCATACCTCCAACTTCCAAAAGGCGAGGACTCTTAGCTTATAGTCATTCTGGTACCCAGTCTCTTCTCATGTTAATATCTTGTGAATGGCGCCTGCTTGGACAGACCATTTCAATAAGGAAGATTTCATTTTCAGACTAAATTATTACACTGCTTTAGAGGAAGGGCGATTATTTTCCTACTAGTAAAGGATGGTTGGCTTTTTCATGGCTGCCATCACGTGATGGTGCAAAGCCTCTATTTATGCATCTGGGAGTTCCTTTTTTTAAAATCCCGCGGGAATCCCTCCAGGCAGATGTGCATTAAATGGTCGCACTTGCAATATACGACACTATCCATTCCACCCCTCTCCCCTAATTCCAAAAATTATACTCCCTTAGAAACGCTGCTGAACAAACAGCACGAGGGCTCAGAGAAATTAAATTGACTTTTCATGTTCTAGCAGACATTAGAGATACACTCTATTGCCTTCAAAAAAGTGTTGCATTTGGAACAGTTTCTATACTTATTCTACACTTATTGTATTGACCCAAATGCTTCGACTTAAAACAACTGTTTGAAGACAATAGATCGTAACTCTGATATCTGCTACTACGCATGCACAACTAAACTGCTGACCATAAAATAACTAACCGCTRACTCACTCCATATTTTGTATATAATTGACTCCTAATAAATTGTAAACCTTAATTTTCGTACAGGCGATACTGTTGGTCTTCTTCTGTCTCTGACTCTGATCCTGAACCAGCTTCTGGGGGGGCGGGGGAGGGGGGTTCAGAGCCTGGTCTGGGGTAGGTGAATTGACAACGCTGGGAACAAAGACATACAAATATTAATAAAGAAGCACTGTGGTAAGGTAACGGTGTCTGTAGATGCTTTAGGCACACTTGGGATATATTAAGGAAAGCAAAGAGTCTGAGTGTGGATCGTTTCAGAGGTCTAAATAACATGATCTTATAAGGGTGCGTTGGATAATGATAATGATGGCGATGATGATGGTGATGATGATGGTGATGATGATGAT